CATACTTTTGCCACGTAATCAACAGAACATTATGCAATGCCCTCGTGGTGTATGCGAAACGAAGAAGGAACAAATTTACAATTCAAATGCATAAAGTGCTATTGCTGAACAATCCTAACTCCAGGAAATTGAAGCAGTACGGCACAGCTAGCTAGCTGAACTGATTAATCAATTAAAACTGAAATGCCACTTATCAAGAAATGTATTTTTTACTGGTTCTTAAGAATAATGCTGATACTTAAGATCAAAACAGTTTTCACACAAACATGTTGAGAAAAAACAGCGAAAAGCCGGCAAAGAAGCCACAACAAAGAAAAATATGCATACTACTGCTTATGGGAGACAGCAATAAAAGTGGTATTCCTTCTTGAAAGGCAGATACACAGTAGATGTGCTGTCAGGCTGATCCTGGAGCACAAGAGCCATTGGCGTAGTGGGTAGGAAGTCGCGCCCGAAAATAAAGGAAAGTGGTTCGACTCCTTCCCCATCCATGACCATTCTCAAAAAGGAGTTCGTTCATGACAAATCAGGTATACCAAGTGATGTGTGTTGCTTAGCTATAAAAAAAAATAAACCTGATAAAAGTTGGTGCAGGAAAGATTTGTTGCATAATGTATGCACGTTTCCAGGGCGGCATGATCGGAACTGCTTGATATTGAGTTACACAAATGCCGGTGCCTGAAGAAAACCAGTCAACGTATTAATCGCTCATGGCTGTTTCCTAAATGGAAATTAATTCATTTTCGCACCTCGAAAATCTTAGAAGTAGGGGCCAGCCAGTTTTTTCAGGTGAGTACAAATATTCACCAGACTGTTGAAAGCTGGGCATCGTATAAATTAGCGTAAAAAAATCGGGGAAAACGATAGAGAGTGGGACCGGCGGAGCGAAGGTAAGGGGCTGAAGTGACCATTTAGGCAAAATGATTCTAGGGCAGGAAAACTCTAAAACTATGAATAACAATAACTTTTATCCGTTGAAAATAATCCAAATTTAGCTTTGGCAAAAAAAATTTAATATAAGGGCTTCGTTCACAAGGGCTCTATTTACTTAAAATCTCTACATGCGGGTGTGCATGGCGGAGAAACAAGCAGCGCTGCTTTCGTTTTGAGGTCAAACTCTGCGAGGGAGACAAAAGTCCCTCTACAATTCAATCATTCGTTTAAATCTGCATAGAACCTAACAAGAAGTCAAAACCGCCATCAGCTTGCTTATGAACAGCCCTTAAAAGACGAAGCCATCGACATCGCAGTCAACGATGCCTCCACAAAAAAATCGTGAAAAGTCGCAAAAGTCGCCACAGAGAACTACATGTCGTCGAAAGAAGGGCAGTCAAAAAAGAAAAAAGATATAAGCTACCTACGGAAAACAGCCAAGAAAAGGCTTATTCTGTCTTGAAAGGCAGATACACAGTAGATGTGCCCCCAGGTTAAGATCTGAGATATAGCCGCCGGCAATACAATGAATAGCACGTTTTATCCGGATGTGAAGAGGAGTGGTTCGATTCCTCACGGGTTCATAACCATTTTCGAAAAGAGGCGCCGCTCACAACAAGTGGTTTGTGCTACTATGTGTACTAGTCGGTCCAATTCTGAGTGCTTCCGTCTCGCAGGAAGAGATTTTTGTTCTGAACTGAATACATAAACCAAGCTTACTGCATTAGCAATTGCATAGCCGGGTTTGACAAGAGAATTCCAGCTTGTAAGCTGCATCTTGTCGTATCTTCATCGTCCTTGTATCCAATTGCAACCGGACGATTCCAATTCACATGATTCACAAATCGCATAAGTTCGAACGGATTTACATAAGTTGTATCGGGCATTATATAGTACCAATCGTACTTTTCATGCATTGTCTGAAGAAAAAAAATTACGTTCATCAACAAAACTCCAACAAAAAGGAAGAGATTTTCAAAAATTTGAAGAGACCAAAAGTAGATTCCGAAACTCATGGATTTCCATGAACACTTCCCAACTTTTGAAATTCAAAGGTTAGGCTTAACAATTTCTAGAAGTAATCCTAAAAAATTCGTTGTTGGCCTCCAAAAGCTGTTTTCTTCTCGAAAAGCGCTTCTGCGATAGCTATTTCTAGACCACTACGGTCAAATTTATACCAATCGACGCTGAATCAAGCTTAAACGTGATCCCGGGATTCTCTTCTCCCAAGTTACCTTTTTTATCAAGCAAAATGTTCGATATAACACAGTCCTTTCGCTCCAAGTGTGATTCAGCAATTCAGTCATAAACACTGTCTCTAACATCCAGGACCTTTAGGAAGTTTTAGAAAGGGTGTACGAAATTATGCAATTTTTTTTGCGAAAAGAAAACAGCGCATATGAATGCAAAAACTATACAAAATAACCACGCAGTTCCTACGTGTTCGCTTCACATGGTTCCCCACAAGCAATTCTCCGCGATCCTCAAATGAATCATAAAATTATTCAAAAAATACCATGTTAAAGATAAGACCAAGGATGGAAATGAGCGGATGCTGCTGTCCAGTGGGCCGGTAGGCTGCAAGATTCGGAAGCGCTGCTATATCGCCATCGATACGCGAAATTTCAACGAATAATTGCAGATGTGGCAAATGTCGTCCGATTGAAGCATTCAGGGCTACTGTGAGCGAAGATTGACCCAACAGAATGACAGCCAGCTTATCACGTATTCCCAATTCGGTGGCCAAAAATCGGGCTCGAACAACCTGAAAAAACAAGATACCATGTAGTGGTACTTTAATTAATGTGGTACCTCATTTGTTTCACTCTATCTCGCTATCTAAATCATCGATGACGCTACCTAAGTTCTAATGAGGGATTCAAAAAAAACGAAAAATTTACTGTTAAAACGCTAAAAATGTCATAATAAGCACCATTTTAGCTCCTCATAGTGTCCAAGAATAGGAAAGACGACTTTCACTACCGCTGTGCTGAAAGCAATGACATACTGATGCGAAACGTGGTCACTGACAAAAGCAGAAGAGCGAATGGTGGTTGCGACAAACATAAGACTGGAGCAAAGGACGCCTGAAGCTGTCCTTTCATGAACAAACAAGCACAAATTTTCATTAGCAAACACAAAGCGTGCAGGACATCATTACGACTACATGACAAAGTAAAATCCGATGAGCAGATGTATACAGCTAGTGAATAACGTATGTTAGTAAATGATACAAAGCAAGAAATCAGCACTCAGACAGCCTTCAAGAACGCTTTTTTTGTACAATTAACAAATAGGTCGTGAACACTAGTTGGAGGTAGGCAGCCTCGGACTGACGGACCTGGCATACATGCATCTGTCGGTTGAGAGCATCCCAGTAACATTTTACTAACGCCAAACCCCCACAACGACAGTCACTCGGACTAATATGGTTTTGTCATACAATATGTTACATAATGATTTACGGTTTTTTGCTAGAAATTACGTAAGGAACAACTGCGTCACTATGATGCAGCACCCCCAGGTCTCCGGTTCAAACTTTGGACACCTTACCCCTTTAAAGTTTTGCGGTCTTAGTGATCTCTGACCACTAGGGCATAAAAACACTCCTCCCCATCTCCGGGATCCAGAATCGCAGTTCACCACTCTGTTCTGTATTTTATTTTGTTCTGAGGGGTTCCGGCATAGTTCACTACTTTACTTTGTTCTGGGAAGCTCCGACTCCCAAGAGCCTCGCCACCCTTTTTGTATTGTTTTTCTTGTCTTAATTTATGTTGTATAACTTTAGTTATTGTATGTAATTATAAACATATGTACATATATACGTATATATATACACAAGTAGGTGCTTCCACACACACACACACACACACGCACACACACACATATACAAACACACATACAGAGGGTACACCACTAGTCTAGTTTATCAACTTTTAGGGTCGCGATAGTTTCAGTAAACTAATTTAAAAGTTATATATATATCAAAAATCAAAAAATATTCCAATTGGTCGTAATGGAACTGCGCACAGTACATGTCTATCTAACTGTTTATTTAAGGTTAAAGAAAAAGTACAAGAAAGAATGATGGAAAACATGAAAAGAACTATTCAAGTAGGTAAAAATATTTCGGTTCATTAAGTCGTATACATTTCTTACCTTTACCCTAACTGTTTATACCTTGTAATGCAAGAAATCTTCGAGAATTT